AACTCCTCCGCCGCCGTGGTGTTGGCAAATTCGATGTCGCCGACGGCCTTCGCCAGGATCGTCATGACCTCGGCGTCCCGGCTGTTGACCCTGGTCCAGCCTTCACGTCGGGCTCGGGTGAAGTCGTCTCTAGAGACGGCGTCGGCGACATTGGCCTTAGAGGGCACCCGCTCGAACTCGACGAACCAGCCTCGGCGAGCGGCGAGCGTCCAAAAGGCCGAGATCATGCCGTTGACCGCCGCGTCCTTGCCGTAGCCCTTCGTCAACGCCGCTTGGCCAGCCGTGTTGTCGATGAACGCCACAATGGTCGGCGGCATCAGCTTGGCGAAGGCGGCGAAGGTGATGATCTGGGCGAACACCTCGAGCATATAGATGTATGCCCGGCGTGCGGCGAACAGCTTGACAAACCACGGCGGCACAACACCATGGTCGTAGAAGACCCTGTCGCCGAGCCGCAATACGTATCCCCATCCGTTTGCGGCGCGCTGGTGCGGCGACGGGTTCATGCCGTCTGGCACGTGTCCTGCCTTGTGTCGCCGCTCGCCGTCAGTGAAAAAGGCGTCGGCGTAGAGCACGGCCATGTCCAACTGGGCGGCGTCGAAGGGCACAAACCTGGGCCGCGTCGTCGGCAAGATATTCACCAGGGTCTTGAGCGCCGCCGCCAGGCCCGGCGAGAGGGCGTCATTGGACCAGGCTGCCGTGTCGGGGGCCCGGGCGTAGATGGCCTTGGTCGCCGCTCGTGCCACGGCGCCGAAAACTGCCTGTGTCAGAAAGGCCACTCTGCCCGCCAAGCGTGATGCGTCGTCTGGCGAGAGGCTGTCGTCCTGCAGGGCTCGGCGAAGCTGTTCCAAGATCTTTTCCACTCGCCGCGGTGTGGGGCTTAGTGTCACGCCGGTCTCGTCAATGTGGAAGGTCACTCCCTGCACGACGTGCTCGTCGGCCGGCGGTTGTGCCTTGGACTTCTTGGTGAGGAAGCCGAGGGCGGCGAACAGGTCCTGGAAGCCGTCAGCCGCTGACTCGCCGAGGTCGGCGTCCTCCACGCCGTTAAAATCATCCACGTAGTGGCCGGTCGGCGTCAACAGCAACCCCCTCAGGAGCTGCTGCAGTGCATCGGCGGCTCTGTTAAAATTCCAAGCGGAGGCCGTCGCACCAAAATTCATCNNGTCACGCCGTGCTTCGTCGCCAGGAAGGTGCCGCAATGCGCCGGTCGGCGAACAGGCCATTGCCTGTAGGCGTTCAGCAAGTCATGGCCAAACACCACCAGCCGCCGGCGATCATGCGCCATCCGGCGCGCGAGGTCGACGAAGCTGCCCACAAAGTGGTGTGTCGGCACATCGGCGACCGAGACCGTGGAGTTGTGGCCTGACCGGCGCCAATCCTCGGCTCTCCTAACCTTGAGCTCGCCGTTCTCGTCGGTCTGGCAAACTGGGAAGGATGCGGCGAGAAAGGCGTCGCCGGGAGGCGGCTCAGTGATGATGTCGACGTCCAAGTGGTCGGCGACCGCTGTCTCTCGAACGTTG